AAAAAAATCCCAGTGAACTCATCTAGGGTCACACAACTAGGAAACAACGGCCTGAGGTTCAGCCCCTGTCTGGCTTCATAGACTGAATCTGCTTCCTGAGTCATCTTTGAAAGAGGAAAGAAAATGCAAATGGCTCTCCCTTTGAATGGCTTTTTAAAGTCCTTCTTTTCTTTCTAAGAGAGATTAAAGAAAAACAAACCTAAACCACTTCTCAGAAGCATGGGGTGCCTCTCTCCTGCCATCCCCTCCCAACCCCTGATGCTGGAGATAACAGGATTTGTGTTGTGAAGGCGGAGGACGGGGTGGCTTCATTTTTGTTGGGAACCTTCCAGCTCTCTTATTAGTTTAGAAATTAATGAAGATTATGAAGATTTCCTTTCAACTCTGTAGAAGCAGGCTTCATCTAGCTAGCCCTCCTGTTTGGACCTGTAGCAAAAGAACAGGAGACGAGTCCTGGACTTGAGGACCCCGGGGGATGGTCTGGATTGATGGACAGATCCCCTTGTGCATGCACGTGTGTGTGCGTGGATACACACACACGAGCACACACACACACACACACACMCCTTTCCCTGTAGCAAGACTGTTTTGGGGAATCCAAGCACGTCTTCTGGGCCCTTTGCCTGCTCTCCTCTTTCGACTCAGGACCACCTGCTTGGTTGGCCGGCAGCATTTCCTTGGCAGGGACATTGGGCTGTGTTCACTGTTCTGCCCTGGACAGAGAGGTGCAGTGAGCCTTCTCTGCACCCAGGCCCGCCAATTCCCCGAGTAGAGGCAGGAGTGGAGGGGAGGGGAGCCTAAGGAGTCCCTTGATGTGGGGAGCAGGGGGCTGCCTCCTCCTCTGTCTTTGGCCTAATACCCCTTCCTCCAAGCCCATTTCCAAGAAGTGGCCTCTTTGTCCCCATTTGGTTGGAAGTGGTTCCCCATCTCAGGGCCAACTTGGCCCTCCTCTTCAGACTCAGAAGAAACGATATGATGAAGCACCGGGGTACAGCCCGTGTTCTAGAATCCCGGCTGCTTCTGAAGGACAGCCTCTGAACTTGCAGGGACACATGGTCCAGCCTTTCACTTGGCCGGCTCCCAGGTGGGGCTGGGGGCTCTGAGCCCTCCAGAGACGGCACAGAACCCTGGAACCGAGCCCAATGAACTTGCCAAGGAGACCTGAATGGGATGGCCACCAGCATCTCTTAGATTTGGGGAGGGACCCAGGGCCATGGCTAACTGATTCCAGCTCCCATATGGAGGGAAGAAACCAGAAGCAGACTGGGAGCATTGGCTGCTGGTTCTAAGTTGGGGTTCCCAGCAGGAGGTTTGCTTGGGGTGGGGGCTGGAATTTAACACCTTGCCACCAGGGAAGCTGCCAGTCCTGGAGGGGCGGGGGCTGTGCGGGAGGACTTCTTTTTTCGTCTCTCACACCCAGCGTAGCACTTCCGTAGCCCTGCAGCAGATGGGCAGATGTGGGCGATGAAACGCGTGAGGTGTGCAGGAAGAAGCAGAAGCCGGGAGGGTGCAAGATTTCATGTGTCTCTTTTAGAAAGAGGAGGAAAAATCTTCCTGCTTCCCAGTGGAGAGGGAGAGGGCTGGTCGGCAAGTCCCTAAGACAGCTCATTGTACCAGCCAAGACCCAGCATCAGGACCAGACAGGGCAAGGTTCAGCCCCCTGCTCTGCACCCTGTAGCAAAAGCTAACATTTACTGATTTTTCTATAATGGGTTTTTCATCCATACTCTGATTCAAGCCTTGCAAATCATGTGAAGTAGGTGCCACTTCAATTCACAGGTGACTCAGGTGAGATTCTGAGAGGTAGAATAATTTGCCTAAGGCTGCACAGCTAGTGGAGAGAAAGCTGGGCTTCAAACCGAGGGTGGTGCTTTAATAAGCGTTGTTGCTGCTGGGACCAAAAGGAACTGACAAGAACAATTAGAGGAGGAAAAGGTTTCTTGGGGAGCTCATGATTTCAGAGGTTGCAGTCCAAAGATGGCTGACTTGATTCCTCTAGGCTTGAGATGAAGCTGAATATCATGGTGGAAGATATTGGGAGGTGGAGGAAAGTGGAGGAAAGTGGCTTAGGACATGGCCATCATGAAGCAGAGAGAGAAAGTCTAAGCTCAGCTCACAAAATATATATCCCAAAGGCATGTCCCCCATGACCACCTCCTCCAACCACACCCTACCTGCCTCTATTCACAATGCAGTTAATCCCTATCAGGGGATTAATACATGGATTAGGTTAAGGCTCTCAGAATCCAACATTTCATCTCTAAACTTTCTTGCATTGTCTCACACGTGAGCTTTCGGGGGACACCTCATATGTAAACCATAACAGATAGTCAGACTCCAAAGATTCTGCTCTTCACTTTACAACGAGTGCAGCCATCTGAATTTGGGGAAGTCACCTAACTTCTCTGTCCTTAGTGTTCTGCACCTGGGAAATGGGGAGACGAATGTTGTTTTCCCAGGTTTCTAAGGAGGATTAAATGAAATAACGTTGGTAAAGATTTTAGCCAGTGAATGGCTTATAATAAGATCATCACTCATTCATTCAATAAATATTTATTGAACACCTGTTATATGCCAGGTACCATGCTAGGTATATAAGCTAGAACATGTCTCAGCTCTACCAAAGGATGTAAGAAAATAGTCTCAAATAATTTCAGCTAGTGATGTGTGTTGAGAAGAAAACACAAGGGGTCAGGAGGGCGACTGTAGAACCTGGAGGACCTACCTCAGCTGGAAGTGCACGGAAGGTCTCATTGAAGAAGTGGCAGTGAGATTAATTCCCGGAGGGAGGGGAGGTGGAAGAGCATGAGTCTTCTAGTTTAAGGGAAAAGCAAGTTCAAGGCCTGAGGCTGGGACCAGAAAGAAGGCTGGCCTGACGGGAGCAGAGCAAACAAGTGGGTAGTAGACAGGACTGAGCCCAGCGTGGGTCTGGATAGCCCGTGGGGCAGGGCAGTGGACAGTGTGGGAAGTCCTTTGGAGGACTTGGATCAGGAGAGCATAATGCCACCTGATTCATTTATTTATCTTACATGCAGCTTTTGTAGCTGTATGGAGAATAGAATTGGGGGGCAAGGATTGACGCCAGGAGATCAGGATTATAGGGAGAGACGGGCAGGCTGGAGCCAGAAGAGAGTAGTAAAACCACACTTCTCTAAATGCACACTTGGGTTTCAGATAGTTGTCTCATTTTTAAAAATTATTTTTTAAAACTTTTAATTAATTTTTTATTTATATATGACAGAGGGATGCATTACAATTCTTATTACACATATAGAGCACATTTTTTCCTATCTCTGGTTTTATACCAAGTATGTTCACACCAATTCCTGTCTTCATACATGTACTTTGGATAATAATGATCATCACATTCCATCATCATTTCTAACCCCATACCCCTTCCCTTCCCCTCCTACCCCTCTGCCCTATCTAGGAGTTTGTCTATTGCTCCCGTGCCCCCCCCTCCCTACCCCACCATGAATTAGCCTCCTTATATCAGAGAAAACATTCAACATTTGGTTTTGGGGGATTGGCTAACTTCACTTAGCATTATCTTCTCCGACTCCATTCATTTACCTGCAAATGCCATGATTTTATTGTCTTTTATTGCTGAGTAAAACTCCATTGTGGATATATGCCACATTTTAAAAATCTATTCATCTATTGAAGGGCATCTAGGTTGGTTCCACAGTTTAGCTATTGTATTATGCAACCTAGTGGTAGTTTTCACAGAAGTCCTAAGCCTCAGGGCTCCAACTTACCAAAAGTGGAGTGTGCTCTCTGCCTGACACTGTGGGCATGTTTCTTCTGTCATCTTGACATGGAGCAATGTCCACTGATATTAACAGTCTTCTTTTTAGCTATGGGATTTTATACCTTTTCAAGGAAGGGTTGGGATATTAACTGTACATCTCTATTTTACGATGTCAGTCTGGATTTCTGTATAGACCTGGGGTAGATAAACTGTTTTTTGGTAATTGTCTAGATAAAAAAGATTATTTCTGTGGGCCTCCTACCTGTTGTCACAAATACTCAGCTCTGCTGCTATAAAGCAAAAGCCGCCATAAGCAATACATGAATGAATGGATATTCTGTATTCCAATAAAACTTTATTTATAAAACATTATTACAAAAACAAGAGGTAGGCCAGATTTGACCCCTCACGGTTTGCCCACCTCAGGTAAGGAATACAATTTACGCACATGACCCAAATAATTTTTTCCTATAAAATCACTTGAAGACATTTTCCCCACTCTTTTGTAAAACTAGAGTGCATCTTCCATATATGGCTTATCTGAATACAGGTAATTCAGGGGACTAGGGGAGGTGAGGGTGGAGGGCCTAGGGACCCCGCTTCTTCTTAAGCCAGGAGTCCTTCTTTGATCCATGTTTTCAATGTTCATTTTTAAAATTGGTGTTCTTCAGAAGAGTCTGAGCAAAAGTACTTGGGAGCGAGAAAAACCAGCTTGAAAACCATCAATCCTGTCCAAGTGGTTGCAGATCATCTCTCCCTCCACACGTCCATTACAGAGGCACTTGTTACATAGTGGTCATAGGAGAGGTTCACAGAGGTTTCTAACTGGATGGCAGGGGGCAAGGGAGAGGAGTAGTGGGAGAGTCTACTTTTTGAAGCGGAGGCAGCTAGATGGTAGGTCAGGCTCAGTCTTGGAGAGGTGGGACCAGACGGTGGCTTGGACTTTATATTCAATTAGAGTTGAGTTTCCACTCAGTCACCTATAGACCAGATTAGTGATTGATTTAACTGGAGAACTGGGATGATAGCACTTCCCTTCCCAAGCTTTTGGGTGGATTAAATGAATTGATTTGTGCAATTGGCCTCATACATGGATAGATGCTTAAAAAAATATATATATATGGGTTTCCTTCTCCCTTCTCCCTCTTTGTTCTGTTCTAAGGGGTGTGGGATGAGTTCGAAGACTCCTTCTCCCATCTCTTTTGTGTTGACCCCAGTCTCCCCATCCCAATCCTTTTTCTCTTCTCAGGATGTGGCCAGGTTCTTCGAGGAGTCCCAAAGGGTCAGATTTTGTTGGAGAGTTACCCCTTAAATGCTCACTGCGAGTGGACCATTCATGCCAAACCCGGGTTTATCATCCAACTGAGGTAAGGGTTGGGGTCACAATTGAGGAGCATCAAGGAGACCATAGTGGCATGGACCAAGTTCACCATTAACACTTTACTCTTCACCCCTGAAAAATACCTCCCTCTTTTCTTCCAGGGTAGCAGAGTGGCTGCATCACCCCTAAGATTTCCACTTAGTTTTTCCCTTCTCTAGCTGTGGTGAGGCCAGAGGTGATTGAGATTCCTGATTCTGTAGGGTACAACTTTCAACAAACATTTTTCTGGGGGGATGAATGTCCCCTGAGGTTCCCAGAGGCCAGCTCTGCCCTCCAGGAGGAGCAACATGGTACCCTGAATTGGAAGGACCCAGCAAAACCTTTTCCATCCTTATCAAAGCTGGCCTTGGTAGCTGGTGTCCCACACCATGAGGATCTGGGGTTGGGATGAGGCTGATTAATTGGGCTTTCTCAGAGGAGGGCTGGCTCTAGGAGAAACTTAGGGGGTCACAGTCTTCTGCTTAAGGGGCTCAGGACTGGGTCTCCCAGGATGCTAAGGCAGGTGTTAAATGCTACATATTAACATTTCAGCAGCTGAGGGACCAAGATAGATGTTCTCTCAGAGCCTCCAAAAAGCTGCTCCAAGATCTAGGAGACGATCCAAAAAGAAATAGCCCCCAAAATAAAATGACGAAGGATTAAGAAGCAATTACCAGCCCAGGAAAGCGACCTGATTTCTTTCCATATTTAAACTTGGGCCTTCTGGCCCCAAGTAATGATAATCATGAAAACACTTGGAAGCATATACACAATATTTAGCTTAAAAGCTCATCAGTCATTCCCTTTCTGACACCTGCCAGGCGACCACAAAATCTATTTTCTTGCCTGGGAAATAATCTCGAGGCCACCCACGTCCCTCTGTCCCCAGAGCCCYCCTTCTACTCAGACCACGCGTCTCACTGGGATTCTGTCCAGGCTCYTGACTGGGGTTCCTGCTTCTGCTTCTGCCTGCTCTACCTTCTCCTCCTCTCAGAGTGGCTAGAGTGGTCATTTAAGGTCCTAAATCCCAATAGCACCTTCGTGTTGAAACCTTCTAGCGGCTTCCTGTTGAGCTTGGAATCAAATCTGAACCCCTCACCAGGCAGCACGCTACTGTCCCCTTCACTCAAGATGTCCCCTGGCGGTATCCTGGATTCTCCTTCAGTTCCTYGTGCCAAGTGCACTCACAGATTCCTCTGCTGGGCCACTCTTAGGCAGGACATTTACAGGTCTAGCTTCAATCGCATTGCTTCGTCTCTTCTAGGGTCTACTAAGTCCCTTGGAAAGGTCTTCCTTGACCACAGCGTCAGAGAGGAGACGCTGTTCATTGTATTCATGGCGCTTAGCATTCACTGGATGTGCCTTGTTTTTTTTTTCTCCTCTCTCATTGCTTATTRTCTGTCTTCCAAAGCAGAGATCCATCTCCGTAAGGGCAGGTCTTGAACAGGCCCCAGGATCTTAGCACTGCCCAGGGCCCATCTGTTTCTTCTGTCACCTCTCCACCCACAGGTTTGTCATGTTGAGCCTGGAGTTTGACTACATGTGCCAGTACGACTATGTGGAGGTCCGCGATGGAGACAGCCGCGACAGCCCCATCATCAAGCGTTTCTGTGGCAAYGAGCGGCCGGCTCCCATCAGGAGCATGGGCTCCTCGCTCCATATCCTCTTCCATTCGGATGGCTCCAAGAATTTTGATGGCTTCCATGCCATCTTCGAGGAGATCACAGGTAAAGACCACAGAGACAACTGTAGCRTTTTATGGTTTGCTCCAGTAAAATCTGCTCTGGGTAAGTCCTTTCTCCCTGCACAGACTTATTAAAACCTAGCAKGTTGCATTCTTGGAAGCAACCTACACACTGAGAAAAAAAAAAAAAAGAGAGAGAGAGAGAAATGGCAAGACATATTTTGGAACCAGAACTAGAAATTTTTATCTTCTTCATATAAATAAGGTGGGTAGAGCACAGAGAGACTGTATAATGTGTCCAGGTCACACAGCTATAATGGTGCAATCAGCAATTTGTATGCAAGCAGTTTGATGCTAGAGCTTACGGGGGTGGGGTGGGCGCACTATGGTAAAGAATATTGTCCTTGGATCCTTGGCAGATCCAGCCATGTGACTTTGGGAAAATTCTTCTCTCTCTCTCTCCAGGCCTCAGTTTCCTAATTATTGTTAAGGAGATGGTAATAGGTGCTGGTCCTTAAGAAGACTCTAGAATAGAGGGAGTGGTTACCACAGTGTAATGCACAGTAAGCACTCAGTAGCTGCCAACCCAAGTGTACCCTTGGCCTCCATTAGCCATCTGTGAAATAGGTCTCGGAAGTCTTAAACGACACTGGCCAATGTCATGCACTTGATGAGGAACTCAAGCCTGACTTTAAATCCTGCTCTCTTTGGTGTATTTGGAAGTAGGATTTGGCCAAGATGAAGTACTCAGTCCTAAGGAATTAGTTTGGTTCTCATTGTTCTGAGATTAGATTGCAGCAGGTTTTATAGAATAAGCTCAGGCTCCAAGGTCAAGTTTTTAAAAATACTGAATAATAATGAAAACAAACTATCGATGGCCTTCTCCTCATCATGGCTCCCTTAGGAGGAAGTTCTGATGTGAGTCTTAGGAAAGCGGGGGTGGGGTGGTTGGGGGGGTGGTGGAAGAGTCAGGGTTTCTGCAGTCCCCTCCATTCATCTGCCTGTCCCTTAGCAGGATGCCCACAGCAGCTCTCAGCTGTTGTCCCTGTCTCCAGTCCATGCCGGGCCCCACGGGGCTGTGCAGGGCCTGGGAGTTCCAGATGCTTTGCTGCCRTGGGTGGTCGGTCCTTGTCCCTGATGACACCCTGCTGGTCCCCTGTGAGGTGGTCTGTCAGACAGAGCTAGCTGTCAGGGAGGCTGGTGGGGGGCAGTGGTGGCTCACCAACCTGTGTGCCTGTGATGGASGGAGGGTCTTCCTCTTCTGAAATAGGCTCCTCGACTCCCCACTCCCCTGAGAATCTAGGAAACACTAGCCTGCCCTGGCAAAGAGCCAGCACCATTTCTGCTCCTCACATACCCCATTCGTCAGTTTATATCCATTATTGCCTCTGGCTAGKGTCACCTGTCTCAAACCTGCATTTCACACAACCCATGCTTCAGAATCCCTATCACCTTGTCCATCCTTGGCTAAACCCTTTCTCTTGCTCCAGTGAGCTGTGACTTTGCCCTTTTGTGACCGCCCTGTAGCACTGTCTCTTCTTTTTTCATAATACACTAACTGCACCGTGCTTTGGGTTACAGTTGTATATTTTTCTTTACATCACCTTGACCTGGTAAATAGAATCTCCKRTTTCTCTTTGTGTCTCTCCGGTACYTTTCACAGAGCAAGCTCTCAGTACAGATTTGTTCCGCTGAATCGAGGGATGCATTTCTTCCGTGAACGTAGGAATGGTGGTAAACACGCATAGGGTTTTCCAATGTCTTTTTGTAGAAAATATAGTCCTTAAGATGCTCTGTAAAGAGCAGGTTATGAGGTCAGATAAGCTTGGGGAAGACTGAATGTTATGTGCATTCTTAGAACTTCATAATGCATAGGGCGTTAAACTGAGAGGTTCTACAGCGAAGCAGTTTGGTTAATTACCATTAATGCCAGGAGCMGTTCCCCAGTACATCTGAGGCCAGAACCCTTATTGAGTTGAACTTATATCAACATCACAAGGACTAATGGCTACAGAACATATGAGTACACCTTTAATGGTATCACAAAGATTATCTTCCAGTGACTGTCTCTCTATATCCAGGATGCTAAGGTGTTCTTTTTTTTTTTTTAATTTTTTAAAGGTGATCTAAAGCTACCCAAYGATGCTTACCTCTCCAAAAGATGCAAGCATGATTCTGCTTTCATCTATTTAATGCTCCAGTTTATTTTTTTTGGTACCAGGTATTGAACCCAAGAGTGCTTAACCACTGAGCCCCACCCCCAGCCCCTTTTTGTATTTTATCTTGAGACAGGGTCTTSCTAAGTTGCTGAGGCTGGCTTTGAACTTGGGGATCCTCCTGCCTCAGCCTCCTTAGTCACTGGGCTTGCAGGCTTGCACCACGGAACCCAGTGCTCCTGTTTATTTTTTTGGCTTATRTACCTCAGACTAGCATTGCCTTCTGGGGGTTTCAGAAAGATSAAATAATCAGCAACCTCTGACATGTAGTGAGTACCTACCTGTTTTAGGCATTATCAGGTCAGGGTAACATGAATTCCGTAAAAGGAATAGAAAAYCACCAAGAAGTCAAGAAGCCTCCAGGCCTGGAGAGGAGGCACTTAGGGATGCACAGTGGCACTGAGGATGCCTTTTCTCTTACAGCCTGCTCCTCGTCCCCTTGTTTCCATGACGGCACCTGCCTCCCTGACAAAGCTGGATCTTATAAGTGTGCCTGCCTGGCAGGCTACACCGGGCAGCGCTGTGAAAACCGTGAGTATGCCTCCTGGGTGGAGCTGAGGAGCCTCTTGGGCTGTCCTTGGAGGGCTTTGGGACTCTCGGGGTTGCTGTTTCTTGGTGTCTAGGACTCTCTGTCCAAGATGGCGCAGGGCGTGGATACAACTGAGTGGCCTCAGAAGGGCAGGGCTGCTGGAACTACCAACGTTTGCCCCTTGACATTTCTAGCCCAGACCTATTGCAAATACCTCTCAGAAAAGACACAGCAGTCTCACATCGTGTTCAGAGCTCAAGAACACCGAGGAAACAGCTGTAGAAAGCCACCGTTGTCAGCTCTCCTGTGGTTCAGAGTTTGAGCTCCCTGACCATCCTAAGGTCCGGAGTTTGGAGTTGTCCTYCAGGGCACCCATGTGCTGTGGGATAGTCTGAAACCCTACATGGAACATGGTCAATGTGTAAGGTGACCATAAGCCCCAGTTTTCTGGGGACAGTCTCAGTGTAGGCATTTTGTCTAAATATGATAACATCCTCACTCACACTCAAAGCTTCCTGAATTGGGTGGCAAATCACATGGGTATCCTATAAGGATGAGATGAGGTTTGTTGAGGCACAAACTAACGTTTTCTGAAGGACTGCTGTGCCTTGGGAGTGTGGAGATGCAGGGAAAGAGGACGCCTTGTCTTTCTCTGAAGCAGCTTCCCCCGAGTTGGTGAGACCCATTTCATCCTCCTTTAGTAGTTCTTGGGCAGGCCTGGAAAGAAAGGGGGTGCAGGGGGTGGGACATAAGAGAGGAGGATCCAGCTGGTCATCTCCAGGACAGCTCTCCTTGTTCTCAACCATTCAAGCCCCGGCCCAACCTTCTGCCTGAGCCAAACTCATTCCTTTCCCTTCTCCTTCCCCTTCCCCTCCCTTCCCTTTTGTTCTAGGATCAAACCTAGGGTCTCCTGCCTGCTAAGGATGCAATTTACCACTGAGCTATACTCCCAGCCCCTGAGTCATGTCTTGACTATAACATTGAACCACTCAAGTTCTCTAGTCTTATAGACAATAGTCAAAAGCTGAGCAATAATAACCCTTAGTCATCCAAACAGCAGAAACCAACTCAAGCAAATAATTCACTCCCCAAACAGGAAATCAGCAGGTGATTTTCCTCCACTATTAGACCCAAGAAGAGATAAGAGAGACTTGAATGTGCTGAGTGTGAACAAGCCTCTGTCAGATCTAATCCTTGTCCTTAGGAAGCATCATGCTAACGGCTGCATGTGGTGGCACCATGATTGTGCAGCCCCTTTGTGTGGTGCCAAGGACTGTGACATTGGCAAAGAGGAATTCTAACCCAGTAACCAGAAATAAATTGGTCGGGGTATCTGATAACTAAAACCGTGTGTATGTCCTGTGTGCTAATAGAAGTTTGAGACCCAAAATTGGTGTCGTGCACTGAAACCATCACCCTGGAATGAGAGGCGCAGAACAAGAAAAGTCAAAATTTGGGGAAGAGCTGAAGGAGTACAGTTTATACCCTGGCCAGGGTTCCTCCAAGCAGATCCTGAGACGGGAATGAGTGTACAAGTGAGGTTTCAAGGTCAAGCTCCCTGGAGAAGCTCATAAGGGAGGGGACAAGGAATCAGGAAGGGGATGAAGCTAAGTAAGTGTGAGGTTTCTGGTGAAATCCCAGCCCCAGTGTTGAGTGGTAGTGAGATCTGGAATACAAAGGAAGTGCAGGCTAGGGGACTGGGCTGTCCTGTCCACACAGCAGTGAGTCATTGGCTAAATTCCATGGGGAACTAGGGGACATGAACTGGGCACGCTGGCTTTCTGTGCAGGTGGATAATGTGGTTCTCATCCCCGTGGGCAGTTCTCTGAAAGTAGCAGGTGCAGACAATATTGCAGAATGGGGAGGGCTCCCTGACTGTGCCACTGAGTTCGGCTGAAAGCATCCCTTGCTCTGGAGTGGCACGGCTGGTTTGAGTGGGACTCTGGGAGAGGCTTAGAAAATGATGCTCTGTGGTCCCTGCCTCATTTGAGGCTGCTGTGTTGTGTGCAGGCAAATCAAGGAACCATGTCTTTCTCTTTGCATCAAGGAATTGTATGGGGTGTGATTCTTCTCACAGCAGTTCTGGACCTTGACCCTTTAGAATCAAAGGGATATGGTGGCAGCTATAGTAGCTGAAAGGGAATGCTTAATGAACTCAAGGAACTGACTGCACAATATGAGGGCTTTGATAAACAGGTAAAATTGCAAAGAAGTGAAACATCACCAAATAAGACCAGATGCCTTTAAGAAGCTGTTTTAAATCAGGGGAGGAAAATAATCCTTCCCAAAGTTATGACTAAAATGTGCATGGATAGCGTGTGAATCAAATATGGATTTCTCAGCATGATTATTCCACCAAGAAAAAATAAACATCATGAAAAATGAATGTAAAATAAGGCATTTTTGTACTGATTTGTAACTTGATTCATACAGTATCTGAAATCACTTTAAAACACCAGCATAGATGGGCAAGAGAATTCTCCCCTGCCAGTTTATATATACATATTTCAAAAACCATAATTCCCCAGCACTGTGAAGTTACAGCTGGGTGAAGATATTCGCAGTGGAAATCTGATGTCATTTGCTAGCATCCTTATGGGGGTCTGAATGTTGATTATTTCCTATAAGATGCAGGTTTATTTTTTTTACTATAAGATGCAGGTTTATTTTTTACTGTTAGGAAGTTTGGCATGAGTTCTAACGCACTCCGTGGGGGAAACATCACAAAAATTAGCTGTGGCAGTTTACCTTATAATTTTTGAACAGATCTTCATCATTTTTTTTTCAGAGCAAATTGTCAGTTAGAAAAGCAGAAAAGAGAAAAAATATTAAGTCTGTTTTCCTCATGAGGATATCAATGTACTGGAACAATCTCTCTAGAAGGAATTCTTTCAAAGTGAAGAAGAAACCCAAGCACTCTCAGATTCCCCCACACTCTCAAATGCCCAAATTGGACTGGGCAATTATTTTTAAAACTAAGTTTTAAGAGCACCGAGCTCAGGATGCACAAGATTTCTGTCTTTGATTTATGTGATATCAAATTTGATAAGAGGAAACCACTTCTAGATGCTGCACTCAAGTCTTTGTGGAAAATTAGATGCTCCTTTTTGCATATGAAAGATTCAAAGCAGAGGATGCAAAATGCCATTCCTCATCAGATCCAAAGCCAGAAGCGAGAACTGCACATTTCCCATGTCATTCATCGGTGGCTCTTGCAGGGTGGCTTGGTAGGACTCCGTCCGGGTGATTGAGTGGTGAGCTCTGGTGACCACTGTGTCCCATGATCAAGTCCTTTCAAAGGTCTTTCCTTCCTGATATGGCTCATCAGTCTCTCTATTCTCAGGAAAGTCCTTGATACAAGCTAACTTTGTACATGTGCATGTCCTTAAGTAGGGTCCAATAGAAATAGGTTTTCTACTTCCTTGCAGAAGAAACCAAAAATCAAATCATACAGAGGTGTGTGAAATAAAAGGAGAATACTATTTTCACTGACCAGTCCTGGTTTCCAGGGGAACCACTGGTAGAAACTGTGGACTTCTTTCTATGTTGCTCCAACCTAAGTCATGATTTCATATATCCTTATTTTAAGCCAGTTGTTCTGAGCTGGGGGTGATTTTGCCCTTCCTCTCCACCCCTGGGTGGCACTTGGCAATGCCTTAATCAATGCTGGTGGTTAWAACTGTGGGTGAATGGGGCAATGCTGGCCTCTAATAGGTGGAGACCAGGATACTGCTAAACATCCTACAAGGAGCAAGACAGCCCCACCACAGTTATCTAGCCCAGAGCCAGTGGTGCCAAGGTCAAGAGTTTTACCAAAGTGGATTCAAGTATACATACAATCATTCAACTCATTTTCAATATCCATGTCATGGATATTTTTTCCAGATGGGTCCATGAAACGATTTCTGAGTATTTCATTGTATGCATGAATGCGCTATCATATATTCATCACATCCTCAAGATGGATTTGATATTGTTTAAAATTTTTTTTGCTATTATGATGAGAACTGCAATTGATATCCTTACATGTTATTTTGTTCATATGTAGACATATTTCTGTAAGATAAATTTCTAGATGTTGAACTGTTGGTTCAAAGGGTACATGTATTTATTTATTTATTTGTTCTTTTTAGATATACTTGACAATAGAATGTATTTTGTCATATTATACATACATGAAGTACAATTTTCCATTCTTGTGGTTGTACATAATATGGAGTTACACTGGTCATGTGTTCCAATATGAACATAGGAAAGTTATGTCTAATTCATTCTGCTTTCTTTCCAATTCTCATTTCCTCTTCCTTCCTCCATTCCCCTTTGTCTAATCCTATAAACTTCTATTCTCCCCTTCCACCCACCTTATTATGGGTTAGCATCTGCATATCAGAGTAAACATTTTGGACTTTGGTTTTGGGGGATTGGCTTATTTCACTTAGCATGATAGTTTTCAGTTCATTTACCGCAAATGCCATAATTTCATTCTTCTTTATGGTTGAATAATATTTCATTGTGTACATAAACCACACTTTCTTTATCCATTCATCTGGTGAAGGGCACCTAGGTTGGTTCCATAGCTTGGCTATTGTGAATTGAGCTGCTATAAACATTGATGTGGCTGCATCATTATAGTATGCTTCCTTTAAGTCCTTTAGGTATACGCTGAGGAGTGTGGTATAACTGGGTAGAATGGTGGTTCCATTCCAGGCTTTCTGAGAATCTCCATCCTGCTTTCCAGAGTGGTTTTACCCAATTTGMAGTCCCATCAGCAATGTATGAGTGGGGGTACATGTATTTAAAGATTTGAGAATGATTGCCAAGAAGGTTATTGAAAAGTTTTACCAATTGACAAGATGAGCCATTTATTTATAAGCTCCARACCTAGAAATAAGAATTGGGATCTGCATTTCAGAAACAAAGGTCTACTCTTGTCAAAATGGAAATGGGTGTGTTTTCAGGGGGTTCCACTGGTCTGAGGAGAGAGAGTTCTTGTTCTGGGAAG